CTGGCAGATCTTGGAAACTGTGAAGAGAATGAGAGGAAAGCAATCTCAATCCACACACTCTAACCGGTTTTGCATATTTCTCATAACAGCTGACACAACATTTATTTTGTAGTGTGTGTGTGTGTGTGTGTGTGTGTGTGTGTGTGTGTGTGTGTGTGTGTGCGTGTGAAATAATCTACACGTGTGTATGACTAATGGGAATCATTACAGGAGCGCCTGAGACTCCAGACGGTGTGCAATATGGGTCAAAAACAGAGCAATTTGCAAAAGGATCCTCAGTAAAACACCTGAGTGGGGCCTTCGTAGTGCAGATTTATATGGAAGCTTTACAGTAAGAGGTGTAAGGAAAAAACAAAACAAAACATTGAATCATGGGTAAATATTACCTCTGGACCTTCTTTAGGATTTGAATTAATGCATATGTAAACAGGAAGAGGTGTTGCTTCAGTGTGTGTTATTTATATAATGATGATCTTTGCCAAAAAAGAATGTTTTCAGTTTTAGATCTGAAACGTTGGACAAACGCACAAACAAACATTGAACACACACAGTAGGTTATAAGCTAAATTCCTGTAATGACATTCTGTAAGTCAGAAGGACACTCTTACTCCCTCTTTCTTCATCAATTCATATTTTAAGTTTCTTTTTCAGGCTGACCTCATACATTATTCCTGAGAATATACATCGGTATGCAAATCCTGTAAGCACAGATATAATCAGACGTACTTGTTGTTCCTGGAGTATTTAAAAGTAGAATGGGAGGCACAGCCTTCAGCTTTCAGGCCCCTCTTCTGTGGAACCAGCTCCCAGTTTGGATTCAGAAGGTGGGCACCTTCTTCACTTTTAAGATTAGGCTTAAAACTTTCCTTTTTGATAAAACATATAGTTGGGTCTTGATCAGGTGACAATGAATCCTCCCTTGGTCATGTTGCAATAGGTTCAGACTGCCAGGGGATTCCCATGATGGGCTTTTTCTATTAACCATGTGTCTATACACAACTCTGCATTAAATTATTAGCAATTATTTAGTGTTTCATTTTGTCCTGTTTCCTTTCCTGGTCCTGGTTCTGTAAAATGTTTCTTCCTGTTGAAAGGGAGTTCTTTCTTTCCACTGACACCAAAGGCAGAAAACTCCATCTGATTGTTGGGGTTTTCTCTCTAGTATTGTAGGATCTTTACCTTATAATATAAAGCACCCGGAGGCTACTCTTGTTGTGAGTTGGTGCTTTGCAAATAAAATTGAACTGAACAATCAAAAAAACTAAGGCTATAATCCTTAATGTAAAAGAGGGACAACCAAAGTGTATTTAAAAATATTACACTGGACTATAGTCCAGTTTACATGCATACATACTATCATACACTATTACCACAGAATAAATTATAATTAAAAGATTAAAATAAAGTAAGTACATTTGTAAAACTTGCTAACATTATTACTACCACTTCTAATAATCACATTCCAATCCTCATAAAGAACCAAATAAAACAAGTGGAAAATGTAAAATATATTTTAAAATAATAATAAATAATAAATACATGTATAATAAAATGAATGTTATATTATTATTAATATTATGATTTAATTAATTTCTCCATTGGTGGAGTTGCATGCCTTTATCTAAACAATAAACTAAAATAAATAGTAAGCTAGCAAATTTAAATGTATTAAAAATATATAATGAATATAAAAATGTAAACAAAACATATTTAAAATAGAAGAAAATAAAAAATGGAAGAGGTGACAAGACAAATAAAAATACGATATTCTGAATAAGTTTAAAACTAAGAAATTGAGTCTGCAGTGGTGAACAAAGTGCGTGCGGCGTTCAAACGCAGTAACAGCAGCAGCTGTGATTGGCCGGTTCCTGTCTGTGAGTCTCGCGCTCAGGAGTAGCTCTACGTCCTCAGTAGAGGCGTTGCTCTCGTTGCTCTCGCTGTTCTCTGCTCATTGTGCGACTTCGGCGAGAGAAATTTCCGCTTCCTGCACCGATAAACACCAGCGGCGAACACACACCGAGCCGACACCAACTTAAGCAGAGGGAGAGACGGAGAGAGCCGCGGGGATTTGCCGCCTGCCGTCCGGTAGAAACCCCGGAGACTGCGATGTTTTCACTCTCAGGCGGAGATTAGCACTTTCCTGTTAGCGCTTCGCTCGCCTGCACCATCCGGAGCCTGAAAAAACAAGGCAAAGCGAAGCGAGGAGACGGAGCTACAGCACCAGAGGAAGGACGACACACAGAGAAGGCAGACTACTACGGGTATTCTCCCCATTAGCTCCTTGTGAAAGCCCGTTTTCAGCCTCCAGGATGTCGGAGCGAGGAGGGCTCCCGCGGACTGGGGGCGTCCCTTCGCCGCACATGCAGCCCTCCAAGCCGGTCAGCATCTCCAACCGGCCGGTCCATATGAACCTGTACGCTACCTGGGAGGTGGACCGCTCCTCGCCCAGCTGTGTGCCGAGGTATGTGCAGGGGAGGTGGTCGGGTTTAGCGTTACTTATCGCTTTTTGGTGGGGTGGGCTGGTTGTTGTGAATGGGAAGTGACCCAGTCAGTGTGTTTACACTGGGGGATTGCAAACACATAGACACCCATGGGTGCCTATTTAGGAAGACTCATTGCACTGATGGCTGTTGTGGTGTTAACAAACTGGTAGATCCCTTTAAACCCATTAATTAAGAGGCTGCCTCCAATAGCACTGGTGTTACCCTGTGACTGGACCTCTTGTTCGCACTTTTGTGGTCCCCAGCCCTCAGCTCGATCACTGTACGACCCTGCTCTTAAAGATGAAAGCAGGCTCCCTCGTTATTTCTGATCCCTACAGCAGGTGCTGCACAAACAGCCTTAGTTGTTGCCCAGCTGATCAGCGCAGACAGACAAAAGATTGATGAAGCAAGCTGACCGTCGCTGCAACTGTAGAGAGCCACTTTGCATCCATTTATTATACAGCTGTAACAGTAGCTGGTGTGATGTGTGAGTCTGAGGGAGAAGACAAAGCCAGGGATCATCTTTGAGGTGCACCCACAACCCGAAACGTCTTGTTTAGTGTCATATGCCTGCTCAGACTTTCACTGCTTCTCATCATGTGATTGGTGTGTGTGTGTGTGTGTTCATAAGGGCAATGCAGCAAGGTCATGTTAGGAGAGACACCTCATCCACCTCTAAGCTCTGCCTCAGACAAAGACACTAAAGCATTTCACAGCCACTCTACAAGGGGTGGGCTCACAGAGGCAGATGCACGTGGTCATGTGTCCTGTGATAATCAGGTGTAACCTAAATGAACACGCTCCAGCTGCAGCTTGTCTCATTGTTCTTTTTATGGCGCTTAAGTGATAATCCTGGTCATAACAAGTTTGATTCAGGGTCAAAGGTTAACTGCTACTGCTGAAGTAGCGCTTGTGTTTTCCAATGTCAGCTAAGCAAACAGTTGGGGAGCTGCTGCAGCATAAAAACGTGCAGGGACTTTCTGTGAAATCACGTCAAACGCAGCGCTTTTCTCCATAAGCCTGAGTCGCATCCTCATCCAGATGAGCGCAGATGTTTAGGTGACTAAAAGCAATTAGTGGGGAATAAAGGCTCCATGGTCATCATCACACAAAGCCCACATGCTGACACCCTAATGCTGCTTTCTGAAATGCTCTGGGGCTTTACTGGTTTTAGAAGCAAAGCCTCAAAAGTACGCTTGGCTTCTTAGCGGTCTGCGTGTGTGTGTGTGTGTGTGTGTGTGTGTGTGCACCTCAATGACACAGCTGTAAATCTATGTCTTTGAATTGGCTCTCTTAACTATAACACCCAGTGTTTTCCTGCACATTAAATGTATTTCCCCCCTTTAGTTTGAGATGATTTTTACCAGTGTCTTCAGCTGATTTTTTGAGTAGTTTGGCATCGTGCTGCAAAATGCAATTGTGGACTTTTTCTATTTTTTTTTTTTATTCCACCCTGCAGCCGTCACGGCCCGTCAAATATCTTCGATTTCACTGCAGTTTCAGCAACATTGAGGCAGGCAAGGAGGGGGAAAAAAGGAGGGTGGCAGAGAAACGGAGGATGACACTGGGAGATGGGGAGTAGCAGCACTGACTCTGTCATCTACATTTAAATGGGATTTTTCACAGACACAAGAAACAGGGAAGTCTAATCTGGAGCCAGAAGAACCTGCACACCATGCACTGTGAATCAGTCACGGGGATGTCTTGCAGAGTCTTGACTGTGGCCTGTTTGCTTCTTGTTCACTGCCTTGTTGCCTAATCTTTGTCTCTGCAGTAAGGACTAAGAACTTCCCCTCTCCAGCCGAGGTGGTGTTGCTCTAACCTCTTCCTGTCTACCCAGAATGCCTCCTTGTGTGTTGTTTACACTGAGCTGTGGGTTGCATTTGCCCTGGCAGGAGCACACATCCTGCTTATCCTGATATGTTAAAAGAAATCTGGACCTGCTCTGTATTTATAGGTGTTTACATACCCACCCAGACTCACTGGCCATGTGGCTCATTTTTTTTTTGTTGTTTTTATTTTTTGCTCATATTCAGAGGGGAGTTGACAGGAAATACTTGTGACTGATATCAGAATGAGAGATGATATCAGTTGTTTGAGCAGCCAGGAGTCAAACTTTCATTTTCTGCAGCCAAAGCAACGAGTACAGCAGCTGCTCCGGCAGGCCTGACACTTCACTCCATGAACGCAGAGGCAGGGGTAGCGAATAGAGATCAGCAGCTCTCAGGTGCGCTCGTTGTCAGGTGGAATGTCGGATCGTGCCCACTCATGTTGCACGCTGAACATGGTTTGGATTCCAGCGCTCAACAGGAGTGTAGTCAGAGGCTCTTTGTGTAGCTGCTCTACGACAGGTATTCCAGGAATTGGTTAGAGCACCGACATGATCACCTCGCATCGTTAAAGAAGCTGAGGGGGAAAGTCCCATGACTCGGGTCGCTGGGTGGATCGTGGGGATTTTTGCTCAGTGTTTCACTTTGGCTTCTAAGGAGAAAGCCTTCACGAGTACCGTGCCCCACTGACCCCACTGACCCCTCAACACCAGGCTTTGTCCATTTGCAGGCTGCTGCCAAGGGATTGGTCGGACTTTCCACTGCGGCCGCTCAAACAATAACTCAGACCGAGTTCACCTTAACAAAGAAAAAAATTAATCATGTTGTGAAACCTACTTAATGGGGCATTAGACAAGAGTTGGCTTATTATGAGATTAATAGAGTCTAATACAGGCTGATATTGTCCTATTAGAAATGAAGAGCTTTTGCTATATAGGGCTGCCTGTAGTTGAATACGAAAAGACAATGCAGAAGAAGTTTGCCCAGAACAGCAGCTCCATTCCTTATTATTAAAAATGTGTTTGGTACTGCAGCAGAGCAGATGGTGGTCATTTGTGAAACATATTGCTGGAAAGTTGGGGGTACGGTATAATCAATCCCACTGAGACAAGTTGTTTTAGAACAGAGGTGTCAAACATGTGGCCCAGACAGTGCAAAACGTGGAAAATGCAATGAGTAAGTGTGAACTTTTAACTGTGTTTTATTCCTACGAATGGATCAGATCCAAACTGAGGATCCAGAGGTTTGAATCACTGTCATATTTACAACCTTCTGACAAAGACACCACCCTCATCTGTCATACTACGCCTGAACAGGTAATAGAAACACCTTCAAAAAATACAAAACGAGGTGGCTTTTTACCATAAATGAATCGATAGACAAGTTCCTGTTTTATTCTCTTATTATTGTGACTCTACAGCAAAAAAAGGACATCTTTGAATAAACAGTACATTTTCTGTATGTATTTGTTGACCTATAACCCCCTCAGCTGAGGTGTGTAATGGATTTAGTCTGGCCAACTCTCAAACTGGTCGTGATTAGTTTTAGGAATCTAGTTCATGAAATGCGAAGGTTTTCAGAAGGTTATTAGTCTTCTGGCTCACCTTAGTTCAGATTTAACTGTATGTGGCTCCTGTAATAAATGGGCTTGACACCTCTGTTTTACAGCCTACGTTTTTTTAGGATGTCCCCTCTTTAAGCCGGCTTTTTTCTGATTTGCTGCCCCTCGAGTTCTAATCATCAGTAAGGTCTTCCCTGTTCACAGCCAAAACTGTGAACCTGAGATGACATTGGGGAAATTTCCAGTCGCTGACATCACACAGAGCCAAGAGTAGGCAAAAACGTTTTTTTACCCTTGGAACCTGAATATATGCTGCTGTTATTCCTGGGGATCTTTTTCTTTTTAAACCATCAGAGAGAGAAAAAACAAAAATTATTTATTGATTAACTACACGTCGCGTCTCGAGCATTCATTGTATCCACTTTAAGTTAGCTAAGAGCTTCATAATCCAGCTATTTAAGTCAGCTTCTTAGAAGAGAATCAGCCTGACGCCCAAACGTTGGGAGCTAAACACACAATAAACAGTATAAATAAGTGAAAGCAGCGAGGTCAGTGCATTGAAAATAAATCTGCTGCTCTGGTAATGAATACTGTTGGCGTGAGGAAGTGCGCTGCAGAAATGCAGGATGTTCTGAATTATACATTGTGTGTTTGTTCGACTCGTTCGCTGTAATTGCCCCGCGATACAATAGTGGACGTCACGTTTCTCGAGTGTCAGCGTTACATTATCCTCCCCCCCCCGAACCCTTGAGCGCACACCCCTCCCTCCTCTAAACACCGGCTGTTGATCGCGCACACACAACTGGAAAGAAATGGAAAGAGCGCCGACAGGCTATCACATACGAGCCTGCTCACAGGCAGGGTGACGGGGCGCTTCATTAAGGAGCTTTGGCTTTGCCGCTCCCTTAGACACTTCTTTTTTTTTTTTCTTTAAAAGCTGAGTGGCCGAAAAGGTCTGAAGTTTCCTCCGCGGCTCGGCTCGCCTGTTGGAGATGAAGGGAGACGGAGCGTAAAGTATAAACCTCGTCACCCAACTTGCCACCGTTATTTACTATTCCCGCCCGTAGCCTTCCAAGCACAACTCCTCAGGGAAAGCTGGAACACGATGGCATGCAGTGCATGACCATTATTGACTGTAATGATGTTTATCCAGTGGTTTTCCAAAATACACTGGAATGTGTTTTTCCCAGTGGTATTGGGAAGAAAAATGTGGCAGTTTGGAAAAAGATTTGCTGGTTAAATGTCTTTCTCAGCTGCTTGAAGACTGACAGGCAGAGAAACCTTTAACCCTGCTTTAAAAAGCTGCTAACCCACTCAAAATTTCACCGTTACGCCTTTTTTCTGCTGTAATTCTGCACAGTGAGACGAATCCTCTTTTGCAGACCTTGCTTAGATTGAAATTTGCTGGGTAACAGTGTCAGCGGAGAGGCCTGATAACGACTCGGAGGAGAAATCTCAGTATCACACCAAGGAACCTGCTTCTGATTTGGCACTTTAGTGCGACGCACAACTTTGTCTAACAGTGTTGTTTTTATTATTATTCCTTTTCCATTTTTTGGTTAAAAAGACTCCTCGAGTATATAAAGAA